ACGGCCATTTTTTAAGAAGAGGTTCTCTTTGGCAAAGATACTCTCAGTGGTTTGCCATTGCCTTCCGAGAGGCGGCGATCGCTTCCGAAATTGATTAAAATCAATTTCAGAGTTATATTATTCTGGGTGGATTTGAACCCGGATCTTTAGCTTATTAAGCTACCGCGCTGCTTCTTGCGCTACGATCGCCACAACTCCATTTAATAATGTCCATTAATTTATTAATTGGATATTCGGCTAAGATATTAATCATTGATGTAAGCCCTATAATTACAAAGTTTAAAAAGTATAAAAAACGTTTGTCAAGTACACCATCTGTTGTAAGTGATACTTAAAAATCTTTCTAATTTGATCTCGAATTATATTAAAATGACATACATTCAAAATTATATCGATTGAAATTGATACTTACATTAACATAGCTTACTGTTAGTACAATAAGCTGTTTTAATATACTCGCAGATATTAAATAAATACAATAATGATAGTAGTAAAATTTCTCTTATTATTATATTTAGATCCGGAAGCTGCTAATCCAATAAATGATATAATAGCAACTAATATCATTTTTGAAGATTTGCCAATAGGTAATTATTCATATTGTTATTCTTTCGTTTATAATAATATATAATTTGTAATTTTATATTTTAGATAGTCAGAATATTGTTTCTATCCTGCAAAACACGATTACGATTAAAAAATTATTGGAACAACAGAATACATTTTTAGCACAATTAAACAATACAAATTATAATACGATTCCACTCTGCTCTCAGCATCTGGTTTAAACAGTAATAACACTAATTTTTCTATTATTCCGAACAAACCTTTTAAGAAATTTACAAAATTACTTGATTATGATACGGCATTAAAAACTAATGAGGAACGACAAAAACAACTGGTAAAAATAATTTACAATTCTTATTTCTTGTTTTTTCGAATATCCGAGATATGAAATTCAATGTTTGAACTGTAAAATAATATAAATGTTTATTAAAGAAAGCTTTTAAAAGAAATTTTATTACTCATCAAGCTTGATTAAATTAAGACTATTTTTTAACATTCATTAATTTCATTGTACTACGTTGAATATACCTACATATGCTACTACAATCTATATTACAAAAATAATAATTAACCTCTTTTCTTTTTAACTAATCTTATTTGAAATTAAAGTACTAAAATATTAGATACAAGATGCTCAATTTTTTACTAGGAAAGGCCCGAACAATTATATATTTATCTGTATGTACATTTTTCTTCGTAGGAAACATTTTTCTATTTATTAGGAGGTACTTCTCCCCAGGACCAAATAAAAGCTGGGTTACAAAAAGTATTCACTAATAAATTGAGTACAAAATGTTCCTGGATGGGTCGCAAAGGCAATTTTGAAGTAAAGACACTAATAATCATAGACATTTTAAAACATAAATAGAAATTTAAAAATATGTAAGCTGAATTATCGTACCAGTACTGTACATATTAATATTTTTCGTTTGTAGGATCGACTAGAAAACACTTTCCATTTTTGACTGAAAAACAATTTCAGAGCTACGTGTCAATTTGGTTTAGGCACTCAAAAACTCGCTACAACAAAGAACTAATTAATTTTTGTTTTATTTGTGTTTTATTATTTTCGACGTAAAAAACATATTTATTAATTATCACTATTATTATTTTGTACAGGCAAAACAGCAACCACGGCAATAAGATTTGTTCATTGTTTTGTATTGCAGATTTTTTTATTTTTACGTTATATTACCAAAGAAAAATTAATATCTATACAGATTTTTTATTTTTAAGTTTTTAACTTTACCAAAAAATAAAAAAAGTAATTTATACTTTTATTTTTAAAGAAGTTTTATTTAAGGTAAAGTGTAATTGACAAGTATTTTAGCATATAAAATATACTTATTGTTACGAACTAGGTTTATTTAATTTTTAAGTCCGTTTTTGGGTCAATACATTTAAGTATTTTACCATGGGATTGGACTAATTTGTGCAAATGATTTAATGAAAAATTATTAAGAATATAAAATAATAATTCGATTTATTTAGGATTAAATTATTATTGGACTGTTAATTAAGAATTAAATTTATTTAATTTGTTGGGGAATATTTAAACATTTAACTTGAAAAAACCAAATTTTAAGAAATAAAGGTTTAAATAAAGGGCTTGAAA